GGGCCTCTCACTCTCTTTCCCTCATCCCTTATGAGCCCCTTGCAGTCCTGAGGTGTCTCCTGGAAACCCCATATTTGAAAACCTCTAGAATGATTTAAAAAGCCAAACATTGTAAACAGCCAGATAGGAATGTTAATCTTGGATCATACTTACTAGCTAAAACGAGCTTCAGTTTTCTCACCGATGAACATGATGTCAGCAATATCCATATGGATTTGAGAGGCTGCTGTGAATATTATTGAAGACACACATTAAAAGTGAAGTGCCTAGGACAGTGCCAAACACATAATTGCCCTCGATAAGTGTGAGCTCCCTGTTTATATAAATAACTGCCCTTTCCACTGAAGCTGGAGGTTCAAGGTCATGATCCCCGAGGACACTCCGGGGACGCTCCAGGGACAAGGCCTGAAATGCAATGACATGGCTATTCTAACTATAGCCAGAATCTACTGGGATGCTAGTAGACTAGACCCAGACCTCTGCATGCCAAGCTAGACCTGGACCTTCCCACCAACTGCTAAGGAGCAGGCACTGACGCTGCTCAGCTTGCTGAGGTCAAGTGCCCTGGACTGCCTCTGTGGAGAGACTGTCAAATTTGCTGTGCAGAAGAGCTATCCTCATGGAATAGAAAACTAAGTCATTTTGCTAGCAAGCAATTATAGTAAGCCCAGAGGATGCCCCAAACCATACTAGGTATATATTGAATTCACCATGGTGAATTCTCTCTGTAGCGCCAACCATAAAAATAAATGGGTTGAAGGGAACTTAAACAAATCCAGCCAGCAAAGGCAGTTATAGACCAATTCGTCCGAAGACCAGTCATGAAGATTTCACTTCCTTAGACCCACACACAATTTGATCATGACTTGAAAATATTCTTCTAGACAACAGCATCTACTTTTTTCTCCCTAATCTATTGATCTCAAGTCTCTTTCAAAGCTTTTGACCATGTTCAGAGCAGAACATTTTCAGTTGTTGCAGCATAGCAAAGAGATTATTATTATTGATCAAATCGGTAGCAAAGAGTAGGAAGTTCAAACTAATTTGTCTTGTACACATGCTCTGGGATGTGTTAAGGAAGAGAACGAGACCAGGAATGGTAGCTTATGCCTGTAATCCCAGCACTTTTGGGGGCCACCGTGGGCAGATCACCTGAGGTCAGACGTTTGATACCAGCCTGGCCAACATGGTGAAACCTGTCTCTAGTAAGAATACAAAAATTAGTGGGACGTGGTAGCAGGTGCCTGTAGTCCCAGCTACTCAGCAGGCTGAGTCAGGAGAATCACTGAACCCAGGAGGTGGAAGTTGCAGTGAGCAGAGATGGCACCATTGCAGTCCAGCCTGGGCAATGAGAGGTGTGGAGGGGGACTCCACTTCAAAAAAAAATAATAAAGGAAGAGACAACTATTGGTATGGCCTACCCATGAATAAGTTCATTATTCTAAGGAAAATAACGAGAGGCTGCTTTAGGATATGGCAACTACAGAAAATGAAAACATAGGGAAAATTTTGCTTACAAAAGTTCTACCATTTAAACTCTCATTCATCTACATAGAGCCAATCTTTCCTATCCCTTCCATGGCTCTTCCTCCCTGGAATCAGCCCACATCCGGTCCTCAGTCTTTGCCTAAAGCCTAAAGTTTTAGCGGTTCCTTGAAAAATGACGAAGAGGGTTATCAAAATACCTAGGGAAAACATTTTTAAGATAATAAGAGTGGAAACAGTGTGAGTTGCTTTACAAATTTGTGTTATAAAGTCTCTCATTTTGACTCTAATTCTAATTGCCTTCACTTGCTGTATTAGCAAAGTGGACCAATATATTAGCAAAGTGGTCCAATAGCTTCCCCTTGGGGCTGTGCCCTTCCCTGGAACTTCTCACCCAGCCCACAAAGGGAGGGCGGTGAGACCAGTCAGAGGACTTCAGCACAGACATGCCCTTGGCAGCAACACTGACTCTCAGCTTCCTTATCTGTAAAGTGAATGAATTAGTCAAGAACGTCTCTAAAATGCCTTCTAGCTCTCAAAATTCTACCTGAAATGTAAAATTTTATATCTTGATAAAAATGAACATTAAAACAATCAGCTGGTCTGAAATTCTTAGAGCTGAAGGTTTCGAAAGGCTAAGTCAATATTTGTTGAATGAATGGAGGTTGTCTTCGTCGTCTTGTACCCATGAAGAAATACACAGCAAACAAAACCTAAGCTTGGCTATTTAAAGTTTCCTACTTCTTCTCTGTAGACTGGTCCTGAATAAATAACGTGGGGAAAGCAAGCAATTTATAAACTGGTCGAAATTGTTCTTCAGTTATACCCAATTCTGGGCCCCCAGATTTGGATAAATCTGTTTTTCCAGTGTTGCCTATTATGCACTTTACTGATGCATAAATCATTCCTGGCTGCGCTGAAGGAAATTATGGTAAAATATGAATATTTATTATCATAAGGAAACTCTTTTGGTTATCCTACATCTCCTGTTACTCTAGAAGGACGGAATTTGTACGCTCAGTCAGCCTTCCAAGTTAAATCTATTTCTCCACTGCAGAGAGAAGGAAATGGAACCTCTGACTACTTTCTCCCGGCTTCTATTTCCAAGGCCACAGTCCTGAGTGTAAAGTTGCTGACAGCTGTTATTTACTAAATCAAGTCCTAGATGTGAAATCACCTGGGTTGTCAATGTGAATTTGAGTTATTTCCTAATCAGCGATAAGGATCCCTAAACATGACCAGCTTTAGGAACTGTGAGGAAGGGAAAGCCGGGTTCTAGTGTCCATAAGGGACCCACAAGCTTCAGAGAAATACAACTTCACAGGAAGACTTGGCAGGTCTACCTTGATGGCAGATTCAAAAGCATGTTTTCAAGTACCTGCTCTTGCTGAAACATTTGGCTGGTCGCACGGATCTCCCTCACTTTAACGCCTTTTTACCACTGAAGCTCTCGCCTCTACCTATCCCTACACAGCGTTTCTGTGGTCAGTTTGGCAAAGCAGCTGAATACATTCTCAGCTCAAAGATTCACAATAGAAATTAGCTTATTAACGACCCTAAGAAGTTTAAAATTAAAAAGAGAAGGGGTTGGGCTTGGAAGAAGAAAGAACAAGACTAAAGAGGAAAATTAGATTTATTTCACATAGCATTTTAAAAACCTTAGTCACTGAACTTTTTTAGTATAAAATTTATCAAATCCTGCTGAATTAGAGTACAGCAAATGTTCCCTCTAGGGAAATATTGGACCAGATTATATCTAGTCATCCTAATTCTAAAAATTCTAAGTTCTACTATAAAGTACAATTATCATAGCCTTCCCTTGCTCAAAAATCCTCCATAGCTCCTACCTGCCTATAAAGTCCAGATTCCTTAGCACTGCATTTAGATACTGGTCTTAACTTACCTTTCTAGTCTTAGTTCCCTTCCTTTTCATCCACAAGTCTTTGCTCCTTCCTGAGTTCCCTCTGCTCTCTCTTCCCATTTCTGTTGCTTTCCGGGTTCTGTGGCTCTGCTCCCGCTGCTGCCTCCAATTGGAATGCCTTTCCTAGTCTTTCTATGGAAAAATGCAACCCACTCTAAATACTCACTTCAAAGCAATCCCCTCCATGATGCTCTCTTCTCCAAACGTATCTTCCTGAGAGCTTATTTAAAGCTCTGTGCTGGTGGCCAGGTGTGGTGGCTCATGCCTGTAATCCCAGCACTTTGGGAGGCTGAGGGGGGCAGATCGCCTGAGGTCAAGGGTTCAAGAGCAGCCTGGAAAAACCTCATCTCTACTAAAAATACAAAAATTAGTTGGGCATGGTGGTAGGTACCTGTAATCCCAGCTACTTGGGAGGCTGGGGCAGGAGAATCACTTGAACCTGGGAGACAAAGGTTGCAGTAAGCCAAGATTGTACCACTGCACTCTAGCCTGGGTGACAGAGCAAAACTCTATTCTCAAAAAATAAAATAAAGTTCTGTTCTGGATAAGATATTGGGTTTCTTGTGTAGAATTTTCTGTATCCATTACTTACTTCTCCAAATTCCTTGGAAGAATGGCTTTACTGTTGCCTGCTCCCTCGTTCTTTGCACATAATAGGTGTTTGGTGAAAGAATAATCTGAAAAGTAAATGGCTGCTGTGATCAATCAGGAAACCTTCCTGGTCAGAAACAACTGCAGTCTGATGACAAGAGACCTGTTCTGCTTCTGCCATCGGCTCTTGGGGACTCTGGCCAGTTGCTTCTCTACTGAGCTGCTTAAAGTGCTCAGCTCTATAAGGATAAGAAAAGGCAGACAGGGGCCAGTGGCCTTCCAGAGCTAGATATCTGAGATTCTCTTGATTTCTAATCCGCTTTCCAAAGAATTGGAGACAACCCTATAGAATTAGAAGCAGAGTAAAATAGAATAACTAAGGACAAGAAAGAAGAGAATCTAAATTTTAATAAGGAAGAAATAATCCAAAAGAATGAATCTCTAACATTAGGGCCTTGCAAGAGAGTCAGAGAAATTTATTTTTAAAATCAGGAAATCATCCTGAGTTCTCAAAACTGTTCACATAAATGACTTGACTGCTTTATAAATGCTTACTTAAAAAAAAGCTAAGTAACAAAACATACCTAATTCTCTAATGCAGTAGTTTTCAAAATGTTGCTCCCCAGACCAGATGCATCAGCATCACCTGGAACCGTTTTAGAAACTGAACTTCTCAGTCCCCATTCCCCGCCACCTGCGCAGGAACGCTGAGTGTGGGGCTCTGGAATCCATTTTAACCAGGTCTCCAGATGATTTTGATGCATGCTAAAAGTTGTAAATAATTATATTTGGAGCTAAATATAATAACACTGTGTTTACATATTCAGTTTTCTAAGATACAGAGTGTGGTTCTCTTTTCCCTCCCGTTTCTTTTCGCTACAACTGTGCAACCCACTCCAAAATGAGGTGATATCAAATGTATCTGGTCTCTTGCCTTTGACTGCTGCCAGTTCCACTGCTTAGATATTCATACATTCGTTAAAATCTGCCCCATTTTTTACAGCTGATCAAGCAGATCCCTGCAAGTTCCTGGCCTGCGGCGAATTTGCCCAGTGTGTAAAGAACGAGTGGACTGAGGAAGCAGAGTGTCGCTGCAAAGCAGGATATGAGAGCCAGGGGGCGCTGGACGGTCTAAACCCTGGCCTCTGTGGCCCTGGCACAAAGGAGTGTGAGGTCCTGCAGGGAAAGGGAGCTCCATGCAGGTGGGTCAAGCACGCTAACTCACAGATCCGAGAACTCATTACTCACATTTCTGAGAAACCCATCATTAGAGTAAATTCATATGGTTCTTTCAATCCATGGTTTTTAAACTTTAGTGAGCATCGGAATCACCCAGGAAAAGGCCTGTTAAAACAACAGGGCTTCACCTTGCTATGCCCTGTTTCTAATTCAGTAGGTCTGGGTGAGGCTCAGGTAAGGCTGATGCTGCTGGTCCTAGGACCCCACTTTGAGAACCCTGCTCTAGGCTTCCCAGCAATATTTTCTTAAGACCAATAGGGAAGAAAAAAAGAACCCGTATCAGCTTTAAAAGACGGAATACTTGGTCTACTACCTTAACTGGGGATGTATTTGTGCATAAAATTTGATCTTTCCCCTGATAGCAAACATAAGAGCTTTCATCATTAAGAAAGCTGGGAAATGTAGAAAATTATGAGAAAAAAATAAAAATCCTGTTAATTCAACACATTATTCTTTTGGCATTCATGTTTATATAAAATTGAAAAACAGTTAATTCAACACATTAACTGTTGTCTTTTGGTGTTTATGTTTATATAAAATTGATTTATGTGTAATTTTCTAAAGCACAATAGAATCTAAATTTCTTGTCTGATAGTCTCTTTTTTTTTAACTTAGAATGTTTCTCCATATCATGAAATATTTTTTGTAGGCTCATTTCTGGTGATTACATAACTGTCCATTCTCTCAATGTGTTAGGATGTGTTTAGTCACTCCTTTATTTCCAGACAGAAAGGTTAAGAGAAGCTTTTTAGAAGGAGGAAAAGGAGGCAAGATACAAACGCCTCTCTGTTCAGGAACCAGAATTTAGAGTGTTACGAAGGTGGCCTTATGAACAAAAAGGGAGCGGGAAAGTTTCTATATCACGCAACCTGTGCTACAAAGGATGAGCATCCACATGTATTAATAAAGACAAACATCCTAATGTTCAAACGCGCAGCTACAGGTGCAAGTCGTAGAAGAAATCCATATGACCAATAAAATAATAGTGAATCTCACTATCATCAGGGAAATCCAAAAACAATAAGGAGACAGCATCTGAATTTGGCAAAAGAGGATCGATGATACTCAGTGTGGGAATATGAAGGAAAGCTAGTTCCATCAAGCATTGTTGATGGATGTACAGATTGGAAAAGGCTTTTTTCAAAATAAATTTGTTATTATCTATAAAATTTTAAATTTGACTCAGGTACTCTACTTTTAGATAATTATTTCTACAAAAATAGTTGCACCTGTGCACCAAGATACGCTTACAAAAATGTTCACAGCATTACTGCTTTGAGTCGTGAAACAAACCATTCCCATCAATAGGGAAATGGTTCATCTAGAACACAGTGCATTAATTACTATGAAACAGCAGCTGAAGGCAAATAATGTATATAAGTCTACTGGAGCTTCCATAGAGAGAAAAACAACATATTAAATGAGAAGCAAATGGCAGCATAAAGGATCCTGTACATGTACTAAATTAATAACAATACTGTACGTTAAGTATATTAGGTTTGACCATATGGCATTGTCATTTTGTCACAAATCATCAAATATTGGCAGTTTTGTATGATGCGATCTAACATGTAAGTAAATTCATGGCAAAAATGTAGAACAGATACACAAATATCCTTCCAGTTAACAATGGAATGGAGCAAAACTGAGGTCTGGGTTTTTTAATGATGAGAATATGTTAATGTAACACTTGTGTAAATTTTTTTTAGGCTAGTCAAGTGCAATAGTAAGAAGAGGGAAGGAAATAGAACAAGCATTTCCATCTGCAATTGAGTGTAAACAGTCAACTGAGAGAACTCACTACATTCGGAGCAGCCAGTGTGTGCAATTTCAAAGAAAGGTTGAGGAGTGGGAAGGGCCAGCGAATAGGGGTGGATTAAAGTGAATAAGGAGAGGGTTTTGTGTGGCTTTTGTGAACAGGAATGTATTCCGTTTTTATTTTAATCAGCCTTAGTTATTTTAGATGGCTGTACAATTTGTAATTTTAAACATTTCTCTTTCTTTAATGAGAAAAATCATTTTAGTTCTAGCTTGTCATGCATGAGATCAATAAAGCAAGGCATCAGGTGATCTGGAAATAAACATCTCTTGAAAAGGTTGGTGGTGCTCTACTTCCTCCACCTGTGCCTGTCTCTGGGGCATAATATGGACTTGAGGGATTCACATACATTGGAAAACTGACGCTCCTTCGACTAATGGAATGAAATGAATGTTTTTGAGCACCATGTGCCAGGCACCCTATTGAGAGGAAGAGGGATAGGGAGAAAGGGAGGGAGCGAGGGAAAGATGTGTAATTTCTTCAGGAAGAAGAAAGAAACTCCCATGTCACCCCAATTTTGCCCTTTTCAACTTCGTGAATATTCCTTTTTAAATGTTAAGTATTAACCTCTGATATGCTCAGCATGAGGACAAACCCCTGTTGCCCCTATGAGCTACTTCAGACAGACTGTCAGTGAAGAAACAGGACCACGGCAGTGCTCTGAGGGTCCCTCGTGCGTCTCCGTGACCTGCTCCTCCTCCCATCAGTTTTTTCAGTTCTTCCCAAGATGCCATTATTTATGTGATGAAATTTATTTATATAAGGATTAGCTGACCAATTAAAACCCAGTCAACATAGACTAGACACTGGTTAAAATTAGAGGCTTTAGGGTTACGCCCAAATGTAAGACTCTGCCTCTAACTAGGTATGACTTTAAGCCACTTCCCCACCCCCTGACCTTAAGCTTCACATTTCTCATCTATCTAATGGGAATAACAGGAATAAATTCATGGTTTTTGGTAATGAATAAGTTAGATGCCCCTCAGTGTAAGCTACTCAACTACTAACATTATTGGAGCTGTTTCTCCCCAACAAAGGGCAGCCCTGTAAGGAAAAACTCAGATTCCCTACCTGGCACTTAAACCTAAACTCAGACACAAATCCACGAGAACACCAAGTGCTGCACCTTTGAAAACAGCGTTGTCTAAAGAGCTGTAAATTTAGCTGCATTTTTGTTTTTCCACCTGAAAGTGACAGGGAAATGATACCGAGAGCAAGTGCCCTCCTGAGAAGACTACCACTGACACACGAAGAGCAGGCACCATTGCTCAGTTACTTGTTTCTGATTACATTTTCACCTTTATTTTTCCTTCTACTCTTTCCTCTATAGGATATTTACAACTATACTCCATACATTTTTACATTTCCCTCAATTTTAGATGTTGTATTTATAGATTCTGTTGTACTAGGAACTTACTTGAAACTTCTTTTTTGGTGTAATGAGTTAGGCTTTTATTACAATTATCAGTATACATATAAAAATCTAAGTCTAACAGTAGATTGTGACTTTTCCTTTTCAGGTTTTTACATTTTCACTTTTGTCCTTTAATTTAATAGGCCTAATGTGCTTTCTGTGACATTACTTATAACAATGAAAATTGTTTCTAAATATAGGGGACAGTTTCAGTAATGATGGTACAAAGTGACATTTATGAGGATGTTTTAATCATATGAAAGTGCTTGTTGTAACTACAGCAAAGTCATAGGTTCACTCACATGCTATACTCAAGTGGATCACCTGAGGTCAGGAGTTTAAGACCAGCCTGGACCAACCCCATCTCTACTAAAACTATAAAAATTAACTGGGCACAGTGGCGTGTGCCTGTAATCCCAGCTACTCAGGAGGCTGAGGCAGGAGAATTGCTTGAACCTGGGAGGCAGAGGTTGCAGTGAGCCAAGATCACACCACTGCACTCCAGCTCGGCAACAGAGAGAGACTCTGTATTGTCCAGGCTGGTCTCAAACTCCTGGGCTCAAGAAATCCTCCCACCTCAGCCTACCAAAGTGCTGGTATTATGGGTATGAGCCACTGCACCTGGCCTCAGCCTCCTTAAACTATGCTTTTCCTTCTCTCTCCTCTGCCTTCTTCCCATTGAGCACTAGGACTGAAAGAATTTTCCATCCTTCTGCCTTTCCCTTATATTGTAATAAAGAGATGTTGGGAAAAAGAAAAAGGTCTAATAAGGGAAAATATGTAGGAAGATAGCTCCTTAATATTATACCCGTTTTATAATGCAAAGAGGAAAAACAAAATGTAAAATGAATATACACTGATGGAAATTATGTATATAGAAAAGTCTCAAAGTATTTGTGTTTTTAAAAAATTTGACACACAATTGTACATATTGATGGGGTACAATGTGGTATTTCAATACATGTATTCATTGTAGTAATTAGCATTCTCATCATCTCAAACATTTATCCTTTCTTTGTAGTAAAAACATTCAAATTCCTCTCTTCTAGCTATTTTGAAATATATATCATTAACTGTAGTCATCCTACTGTGCAACAGGACCTGGAATGTATTCCACCTGCTTCATTGTAACTTTATACCCACTGACCAATCTCTCTCCATCATGCCCTCCTCCCTCTCCTCCCCAGTCTCTGGTAACCACCGTTCTATTTTGTGTTTCTATGAGATCAGCTTTTTAAATTACACATGAGTGAGAGCTTGCAGTATTTGTCTTTTCTGTGTCTGGCTTATTTCACTTAATATAATGTCTTCCAGGTTCATTCATGTTGTGTGGCAAATGACAGGATTTCATCCTGTTTATAACTGAGTTTTATTATATATAATTTTATATTATATATCACATATATTATACATATGTATCACATTTTCTTTATCCATTCATCCATTGATGAACACAGGTTGACTCCAAATCTTGGGTATGATGAATAGTGCTGCAATATACATGGGACTGCAGATATCTCTTTGATAGGCTGATTTCATTTTCTTTGGATAGCTATCCAGTAGTGGAATTGCTGGATTATATGGTAGTTCTATTTTTCATTTTTTAGGATCCTACAGACGGTTTTCCATAACTGCTGTACTCATTTATATTCTCTCCACATCCTTGCCAACACTTGTTGGCTTTTTGACAATAGCCATTCTAACTGGAATAAGGTGACATTTTATTGTGGTTTAAATTTTATGAACAATATGCTCTTATAGAGCTGTTGTTCAGCAACCACAACTCAGAACTTGAGAAATAAATCTATGTTTTGCAATCCTTCTGACACCAGTGCTTAAGAAATAGTAAGCCAACTAAAAGGCAAAACGGGGGAAATGCTGAAAGCATACTTCTTCCAACTCAAACAGAAGACACCTGCAAAAATAAGCTATCTATTCTCACTTGTCATAATGTTAAAACTAAAACAGTAGAAAGCTGTAGTTACTATTAATGCTGATAAACCCACGAAACAAGTTACTATGTTTTGCTTTCTTTTGTAGGTTGCCAGATCACTCTGAAAATCAAGCATACAAAACTAGTGTTAAAAAGTTCCAAAATCAACAAAATAACAAGGTAAAATTACACTTTATCTTACATGTTGGTTTTAATTACTAAACTTGACTTTTGAAAGAAATTAAAAATATTTCTGTCCCTGACTCTTATTTTAAATAGAGAAAAGCAAGATACTTTTTGTTTATTTTTAATTTAGTGTTTTAAGGAGGATAGATATTTTCTAGTGCAAGAAGGACAGAGGCAGAGGTTGGGAGTAACTGAAATGTGTAGATACAACAACAGAATAACAAAACCAATCCAAGTATTTTATAATATTCCCAATCTTTCCTTATAAAAATGTACATGTAATTTATCAAATATATTTTAAGGTTGAAATCTTTACAATAATAATTTATATTCCTGGCATTGAATAATTTTATATACATTAAGATAGCCTCTTTCAATTTCAAATAATCAGCTAAAGGAAAAATATGTAGAAAATATGAAGAAACATGATTTGTGAACAATGAAAAACTTCAAAATATTCCTAAAAGTTCATCTTCAGATAAATATTTCTTTCGGTGTCCTAGACATTTCTTTTAAAATATTCACACAATCAACTTATTTTACTAAAATAATTTTATTTTACAAAGAAAAATAACTTGTCTATAAACAATTTATTTATAGTTGACATAGTTTTTTAAAGTAACTCTGGTGGAAAATCCTTGGACAATCTTTAGCCTAAAACTACTCATTTTCAAAAATTATAGTTTTTGATAGAAACAATTGGTGATAATCAGTCAATGTCTACTATATCTAAAGCCTACAATGCTGGATAAAAACAAATGCCTCAAAGTTGGCACCTAGAAAAATTATCACAGTCAATATACAATCAAGGATACTGTGATTATCACACCAAATGTTAATAATTGTTTTACATATCCAAGCACACACTGAGAATGTGTGCCACTTCAATTTTCTGAAACCAAGAAAACTGGAAAAACAGAAAAAGTTTAGACTAGGGCCATAAAATGACAATAGGACACAGGATCTGATATTGACAAAATGTCCAACTAAATCCTGAAGTACCAAATAGAATTATGGATCACATTTCAAATAAATAAAAGGAAGTGACAATTTTCACAGTAGGAAGTAAACTTGAAGAACTACCTCTTACTTCATGACAGGAACAACAAACATGAAGTATCAACACTAATTATTCCTGGCTACATACGTGGTTTTCTGTGTTGACAGACATTCAGAGGACACATGAGTTCCATGAGGAAGCATGCTGTAATACGTTAATGGTGTCTACTATGGTTGGATGGAAATATGGTGACTCATTCACAGACTTTTTGCCACCTGTGCTCCAAGACATGGGTCAGCCTGAAAATCTAAATAGGCTTAAAAGGGCATGGAGTACATTGCTAGTAGGTTATAAAATTAAGAATGTTTTGAGGCCATCTTCAACATTTCAAAGATGTCATAAATGGCAAGCACATCCTCTTATCTACCAGAGGCAGTAATATTGGAATGAACCATTGGTTTAAACTTGGGTGGCATTTCTTGAGTTTTTAAAACTATTTCTCTTTCAGGTAATCAGTAAAAGAAATTCTGAATTACTGCCCATAGAATACGAAGAATTTAACCATCAAGATTGGGAAGGAAATTAAGAACTGAAGATTACCATTTAGGCTGTCTCAAAGGAGATGATTTGCTTTCTCAAGGAAAGCAGAGGCAGGTATATTCACTGGTCATCAAAATCCAGGCATATAGTCAACACTGAGAATCGGCACACACCATATTTCAAGTATAGAAGAGTTATGTAATTGAAGACCAATAAATTCTGAAGCAAAAGACACTTATTAATTAAAACCCAAAATGCAATCAGTGAAATATATTTTTACTATTCTTGGATGATAGTCAACCAGGTTTGCTTCCAGCTTCCCTGAAAATATTACAGATCATTTGCAACAAGCACAGCTTACTTACTATTTGCAGACTGAACAATTTATTGAGAAGCAAACTCTTTATATGCTAGAATGTACATTTAAAAGATGACTACTTATGCAGGGAGATGCAGGTTCTCTCTAAATGCATGAATGTATGTAGTGCATAAGCACTGTAGTAAGAGTATATGTGCTCCAGACTACAATGTCTGATAATCACAAACTTCACTATTCAGTTATTAAGCACATTAGTTTTATATGCAACCACTGCTTACATAGTAGACTGTTTTGTTGCCAATAATCTTTGAATTGTTCTTTAAAAGAAACTGAGGTTCAGATATACATATCATGGAAAATCTTACTTGTTACTACAAACAGCTATTTTAAAGAAGATGCTATACTGGGAGAAGGGTGAAGTTGTACTATATGGCATCATCAATTCTTCCATCACAGATAAACAATGTTTTCCTAAAATAACTTCATTGAATACTTCATCACACTAACTTTGGTGTGTGTATACCTAGATTGGCATCAATGTAATCCAGTTCAGACCATTTTTAATGTGCTACTTAATGAAAATGAATCTGTATCTCTTTTAGATGTTCTAATATCAGATATATATTTGATGCAAAACTTTAATTTCAGTAAAATAAAAGCTCTATACTCATAAATTTTTAATGAGCCTATGTTTTAGTAGATATTCTGTATATTTGCTTTATGGATTCAATAAATGATTTTAAGCATGAAAATGTTAATGCTTCCAAAAGACAACAAAATAGTAAACACCAAGAGCAACATTTAATAGTAAGCTTGAAAAATAAAACAGATTGGGCACAGTGGCTCATGCCTGTAATCTCAGCACTTTGTGAGGCCAAGGCAGGTGGATCACTGGAGGTCAGGAGTTTGAGACCCTCCTAGGCAACATTACAAAACCCCATCTTTACCAAAACACAAAAATTAGCTGAATGTGATGGCATGTGCCTGTAGTCCCCACTACTCAGGAGGCCAAGGCAGGAGAATTGCTTGAACCCAGGAGGTGGAGGTTACAGTGAGCCAAGATCACACCATTGCACTCACTCCAGCCTGGTCGACAGAGCAGGACCGTGTCACACACACACACATACACGCAAAATGTTCCTTAATAATGGAGACAATTTGTGGGGGAAGTGGTAGTGCCCCATGAGGAAGGGTTACAAACCCTCACAGAACACCTAGCTTGTATCACCATTCCCATCCCAATCCTGTCTTCTACCACAGATGAACAATGTCATCCTATAATAACTTCATTGACTACTTCCTCACACTGACTTCGGTGTGTGCATACCAAAGAGAAGATCTATAATGTGGGACAAGGACTTCAAGGTGAAAAATGATGACAAGGTGCCACAGAGCAAAGAATGGTGGCAAGAGGTGTAGCTACCCACTTCCATATCCCTGAACTTCACAGGGGAAAACAAATGATAGTCAGCATGACAGGCTGACAAAAGGCACATGAAAACATTTCATCAGGAGTAAAAAGGATCTACCACTATCACTCCTCTACAATGTGTTCCTCACCCCCTATATTCCCTATAAGACTTGTGCTCTAACTAGTACAGGAAATGTAGTTTTTGATGGGGAAAGAGAAGTAGGTAAAAGCCCTATATTCTGTGGGGACGGTCCCATTTTGTGGTGTCTCTCACTCTTTGGATCACCCATCTTTTGGGTTGGTCTTTTCCAACCAGCCAGGGAAGAGCCGATGAGGCGAGATGGTCAGAGTCTTCTTCTACGCTCAGAAGACCCACCAGGATCATGGTAGGTTCTTGACACAGGGAAGCATGCTATATTCAAGGCCTTAGGGAGGAGGAGCCTTCTTTGGGTCCCCAGTTTTTACATCCTGTGTCTTCTCACTAACAGATTAGGAAGGGTCTGAAGAGAGGCAGCCAAGATTTGGTGTGTCTCTAATCTAGGCAAAATGAGTAGCTGTGACTCATGCACAGTCCTCCCTGTATCCTGGTTGGAGATCACATAGGAATTTGGGGCCAATGTTTAGAGAAGTTTCAATCGCCTTCAGTTCCTTGCTTTTTCCTGCATCCACGTAACACATTGCTTCCAGCCCTGGCGACTGGATCAAGCCTCAGGATCAAAGAATTCTCCAACTTATTCCATTGGAGACATGGCAATAAGTGCAACATTACAACCTGTTCATGACACCCTGAAACTGTATTAAAAGCACAAGATGCAAGTGAAAATTCTACACCGGGAACATTTATTAATTTGTATTTCCAGTACATCAGTTTTTAGGGAAAGCATCACATATACACTTTTAATGAAATGAGGAAAAATTGACAGTTGCAACTACATGAATTTTCATAAGTAAAAAGAAAACAGCCAACCAATAAGCCTTTTTGTAATTTAAAAATGAGATTCTACTTGGTACAAATTGGGATTAAATGTGTAGATATGGACATACGGAGTGGAATAACAGACATTGGAGACTCCAGAAAGTGGGAGGGTGAGAAAGTGTTTAGGGATGAACAACGTTCCTAATGGGCATAACGTACACTTATTTGGGTGTTAGGTACAACAAAAGCCGAGGTTTTACCACTATGCAATAGAGCCATGTAACAAAACTGCACTTGTACTGTACCCCCTAAATCTTTTTTTTTTTGAGACGGAGACTTGCTGTTGTTGCCCAGGCTGGAGTGCAGTGGTACAATCTCAGCTCACTGCAACTTCCACCTCCCAGGTTCAAGGGATTCTCCTGTTTCAGCCTCCTGAGTATCTGGGATTACAGTTGCCTGCCACCACACCCAACTAACTTTTTCTATTTTTAGTAGAGACAGGATTTAACCATGTTGGCCAGGCTGGTCTCAAACTCCTGACCTCAAGATCCGCCTCTCTCAGCCTCCCAAAGTGCTGGGATTACAGATGTAAGCCACCACATCCAGCCCTAAATCTATTTAAAGAAAAACGAAAAGCAAATTAGGATTGAAGATTATCCTTTTGAATGTGCATTAATCTTTCTTGATTATCTCTTGAAAAACTTCTGAGACAGGTAAGCTTGTTTCACGTTAGGTTAGCAATGGAGAAAGAATACATTGATTTGAATTGAACTGAAGTATACTCAAAGAGGTGGTCCCAGCACAGTAGGCGCTACCTCTGCCAGTCTCTCCATCTTACTCATGTACAAAGTGTCTTATGTACAAAAAGGCTTATGTACAGAATGTCTATTTACTGCTGACCTTCTCCAGTGTGGCAGTGCCTTTCCTATTTGCTAAGAATATATACACTGGGCATATCTTGATCCAAGTTTTAATAACCACAGGTTTGGATTCTGTAAGTTACACATTATTCATTCTAAAACTTCAAGTAGAGATCTAGGAGTGCTCTGTGTCCTAAAATGTATCAGTGTTTCCAAACTAGGGGTGCAGAATCTTTAGGGGAACACAACCTGTCTCTTCCACTGTTGTTCTCTTTCATTATTGTTGCACCGCCTCCAGTATGTCCTTATTCTCGTGTTTAGATATCCTCTGCCCTCCCCTTCCCTGCTTGTTAATCTTCTGGGAGAAATTTTAAAATCCCAGCTACTCAGGAGGCTGAGGCAGGAGAATTGCCTGAACCCAGGAGGCGGAGGTTGCCGTGAGCCAAGATCGCACCATTGCACTCCAGCCTGGGTAACAAGAGAGAAACTCCGTCTCAAAAAAAAAAAAAAAAATCTCAATACTTGTTATCATTGGTAATGATGAATAGGGAAAACCTGTCACACCTTGTGAAGTTGCAGATGAAGAGAAAGAGAAGAAGCTACCCTTTGTGAATCCACAATGGCTACTAAAAAGTGTTTGCTTATTTTGGTTCTTTGTTACATATGATTGGAACAAAGGCTTTTACATCTTTTCCAGTCTAGAACTAAATTCCTTGACCTCTCTGGATCTGTTACCTCTTCCATAAAAGGAGGTAGGTCTATCACTAATATCATATTAATTGGCTGACTGATTCATTCAATAAATATTTATTCTACTGATCCAAGTACTCTTCAGTTACTTCAGGTAAAGAAGCCAATGATCTACATATTTGGATCCACTAAGAACCACAGTAATAACCTCTGAATGAAAATGCCTTTTAAAAAATATCCAATTAATAAAGCTCTACAAATACCATTATTCTTGCTGTGGATTTTTTTTTTTTTTTTTTTTTTTTCAGACGGAGTCTGACTGTCATCCAGGCTGAAGTGCAGTGGTGCGATCTCAACTCACTGCAACCTCTCTCCCCTGGTTCAAGTAATTCTCCTGCCTCAGCCTCCAGAGTAGCTGGGATTACAGGCACCTGCCACCATGCCTGGCTAATTTTTGTATTTTTTTAGTAGAGACAGGGTTTCACCATCGTGGCCAAGCTAGACTTGAAATCCTGATCTCATGATCCACCCACCTCTGCCTCCCAAAGTGCTGTGATTACAGGCATGAGCCACCATGCCTGGCTGCCTGTGGACTTCTATTCTCTAAGTTTTCACAACCACTACTGATTTTTCACTTAAGATGATCTTTCCTTGGTTGTTTGCAAAACAAAACGGTTTACAACAATGACCTATGAAAAGCAATTACAGAAGCAGAATGAGCGTTAACAACAGAATGCCTTTGTGTGGCCCTGTGTTTCTACATGCACTATTTTGTTTCTTCCTCGTATTTTCAACTTCCTCTGAAAAGGTGCCATCTCCCCAAATTTACAACTAAGAAAACTCAGGATTCTCTTAACATACGTGGATTAGAGAAACTTCCTTTTCTCAATGAGTACCCCTAACTCATAATACAGATCTCAACTGTGTTACCAGAATTAGGAATTACATTATAATTGAATCAAATGTGAAACCATTCTGTCCTCTCATTTTAAATATTTTATGCATGCTGCCTTTGCAAAGCATATGCTATGGAAGGAACTAGTATTGAGTAGGAAAAGATAAGATCTTTATATAGAGTATAGTGGTTTAAACTTCTAATTTTAAATCTCAGTTAAAATGACTGATTAAAATATGAGTGAATTTACTTTTGACTCCTACAGTTTTACCCTAGCATGTATGAGCTTGACTGTGAACACGGTAAAGCAGCTGCATGAACATCACTGAGAACATCACTCCTGCTATTTCCTTTAAAACACTGACAGGGTTCTGAGTTTCTCCAGCAACGGGGCATCTGTGTGTATGTACATCTATTGTATGTAGGTTACTGTAAGTCTATCTGAATTAGGCCAGTCGCCCCGCTGGCCAAAATTAACTCAGGAGACTATTGTAAATAGGTAAGTTCTAGGACAGCAGTGTGACATGATTAGAAACAATATGGTTTAAGATTAACCATAATTGTATTAACTATTAGAGTAAAAAACTAAAGACTTATAACAATGTTTTGCTGTGATACGTTTCTTACAAATTTCCTAAAACATTAGGTTCTCTCATTTAAGTAAGTTTAACTCTTTAATTTTCCATCTAGTGCCTATTAATATATTTAAAAATATATAAAACTATTTCTGAAAAATGTACTAAAGAGACATGTCATTAAAATCCAATTTGGCTACTAAATTATGTTCAAGAACTTTACTCACTACTGGTTAGGAAACAAAGCTTACCATTCACTATCCTACACAAATAAAAACACCAATTAAAGGCGAGAGATGGAAGAGAGAGAACAGGTCATTTATTTCA